GCCCCTCAAGGTGAAGCCCCAGCCAAGCAAGCACAACCTACTTGGAACGTCCAGCCTGCTGTCTGAGACCTTCCCCACCGAGTGTGGCAAGCCGCCTCCCTCTCCCCCATGTGATAAGCACTTCTCACTGTGGGATAAATAACAGTTCACAGCTCGATGTTAAGCTTCCCACATGTGTGATTTTTATCAGAGGCCAAAGTCCCTGCCAGATTGAGCTAAAGAACCAAGTTCAGCAGGTAGCTCTCTGGGCCGGTCAATATCTGTGTGGGTCTAGAGACTGTGCAGCTCCTACCACCCTGAATCCCCCACCCAACCTAGAAAGCACCACAAAGCATCCCCAACCCAGATCCCACCTCTCCCCCTCCCTTTTCAGTTCCTGGTGTATGACTATGACTCCAGTGGAAAGCATGACTTCATTGGCGAGTTCACCAGCACTTTCCAGGAGATGCAGGAAGGGACGGCAAACCCTGGGCAGGAGGTGCCACAGAGACCCTACCCCACCTCAGAATCCCACCCAAATTCCTGGGAAAATCCTAAGGGTGACACTGAAGAGACCACCATAATTGGCTGGAGGTGGAGAGGGTGGAAAGTCCCCAGGTTTGGTCAAAGGATGGAGCCATGGGGATCTTGCTCTAGGAGGCTTTGCTGGAAAGGGGCAAGAGAGGCCACCTGATGGACTTATGACCCTGTGTTTGTGGGGTGCATGTGGTCTAGATGCAGTGGGACTGTATCAATCCCAAGTATCGGGACAAGAAGAAAAATTACAAGAGCTCAGGGACGGTAGTGCTGGCCCAGTGCACGGTAAATTCTTGTTTCAAGTGTTGCCTCTGCCCCTTCCCCTGCCACAATCTGATTCAACCCTTCCCTTTTTTCAAAAGACTAACCATTTCTCTGCTCCTGGGAACTGGGAATCCCTGCCCCATCCTACCCCCAACTGCAACCTCAAAAACTCTGGTCCCTCTACCTTTCCCACAGAAGCTCTATCCAAACTTCTTCCCAAAAAGACCACGCCCCCACCTCATTTTCTCTCCTCCTTCTGCCAGGTGGAGAAGGTGCACACCTTCCTGGATTACATCATGGGCGGCTGCCAGATCAGCTTCACGGTAAAGGCCCAGGGAATGGGGGCACAAATAAGAGGGAGAGTCTAAGTCTGCAATGAGCCCATAATCCCACTGCCCCTACTCATGCTTCTTACGAGTCTTAGAAATGTTAACTCACCACACTGAGACTACCTGTGGTCCCCCAGACTCATCTCAGTCCTCCCTACAGTCCTACTCTAGTTCTGGCTAGCCTCTGTGGCAGCTCTCATAGCTACAGCATGATCCTTTCCTCACCCTCACCCTCATCCTCACCAGGTGGCCATCGACTTCACCGCCTCCAATGGGGACCCAAGGAGCAGCCAGTCCCTCCACTGCCTCAGTCCCCGCCAGCCCAACCACTACCTGCAGGCCCTGCGTGCAGTGGGAGGCATCTGCCAGGACTATGACAGGTAAGAGGGAGATGGGGAGGAACAGGAAGGCCAGCCTTGCCCCAGGAGCCCCACAGCCTTTTCTTCTCTCCAGTGATAAGCGGTTCCCAGCTTTTGGCTTTGGAGCCCGGATCCCCCCCAACTTCGAGGTAGGCTGGATGTAGGGGAAGGGAGGATATGGGGGTGTCAGACAGGAAGGAGACTCACCCCCTCATTGTGCTCACCTTATCCACACAGGTGTCCCATGACTTTGCCATCAACTTTGACCCAGAAAATCCTGAATGTGAAGGTAAACTGGGAAAGTCCCACCAACCTACCTCCTACCTGCCACACATGCTTGCTGCACATGTCTGTACATCTCACACCAGAGCACAGATTCCGATCCCATGGGCTCAGTGCCCTTTCACCCATCCAAGGCCTGTCTTCACTGGGTAAGACTCATTCCCACAGCCCAGAGTCTACCCACACAACTCTTTCAGCCCAGGAAACTACCCATCTTTCTTCCTGTTCTAGTGAGGAAATTGGGGTGGCAGGTCCCAAGAACAGAGGCACCTCCTAATCTCTGCTAGTTACACCTCTTTTTTTTTTGCCCACAGAGATCTCAGGGGTCATTGCTTCCTACCGTCGGTGCTTGCCACAGATCCAGCTGTATGGCCCCACCAACGTTGCCCCCATCATCAACCGTGTTGCTGGGCCTGCACAGCGGGAACAGAGCACTGGCCAAGCCACGGTGAGGAGATAAAATAGACAAGCAGGTGCTGCCTGTACCCTGTGTGTCCTCAGGTGGCGCCAGAGCCAGGGCCTGGGTTAGGGATAGGCGTCAACATCCTTGCACACAGAGACGACCTTTCTTCCCCCTCTATCTGCCCTCAGAAGTACTCAGTGCTGCTGGTGCTCACGGACGGAGTGGTGAGTGACATGGCTGAGACCCGCACAGCGATTGTGCACGCCTCCCGCCTGCCCATGTCCATTATCATCGTGGGTGTGGGCAATGCCGACTTCTCTGACATGCGGCTGTTGGACGGCGACGATGGTCCGTTGCGCTGCCCCCGAGGGGTGCCGGCAGCCCGCGACATTGTCCAATTCGTGCCCTTCCGGGACTTCAAGGATGTGAGTGCTCGGTGCCCCTCCAGCGGAAGGGCTCCTCAGCTCCTCTTGCCCTCAGATCTGACATCTATGTCTCATCTGCTTGATGTCCTGCGAAGTGCGCTGGAGCCCAGCTGACCACTCCGCAGTCCTTCACTCATCTGACCCAGCCCCTAACCATGTCTCCGCCCCATCCCAGGCTGCCCCGTCTGCTCTGGCTAAGTGCGTCCTGGCTGAGGTGCCCCGGCAGGTGGTGGAGTACTACGCCAGTCAGGGCATCAGCCCTGGGGCTCCCAGGCCCTGCACGCCAGCCACGACTCCCAGCCCTAGCCCATGACTGCCTCCCATCGGATCGACACACCCTCCACCTCTCAGTGAGTCCTGGGGCCCGAAAAGGGTGCACACAAAGGATGTGCAAAGTGGGGTTTCTAAGGAGACTACTTTGGCTTATGACTATTCCACACCTTCCCAGGTGCCTGTCCTGACCCATGTGACTCAAGTGACTAGTGCCTCTGCCTCTTGAACCAGCTGTGCCCCCTGGGTTCTGGAAGTGAGTGGTGGGCCCTGCCCCCATCTTTCCAAGCCCCATACCCTCTAGTTTGTGTCCCTCAGTGACTTCCTTCAGTAATCATGATTTTCCTGCCATTAATAAAAGGAACCACTCCTAGCACCTCTATCTCTACCTATCATGTCTCGGATGTTCATTGGGTAGTCTGCAGTACCCACACAAACCATAGAAAATATGGGCCAGCACCCTTCAAAATCTGAGCCAAAGCTCCCCAGGCAGGCATGGTCTCTGCAGTCTTACCCCAATCATGTGCCAGTGGGCTCTAAGGAGCCCCCACCCTTACTTCCCAAGCACAGGGGTCCAGACACTGTGGGGGTTAGTTATAGGAGATGGGGAGGTAATAAGGGGCTGTCAAGAAGGGGCAGGCTGATGCTTTCTTACAGCTGTCTACAGAGAAGCATGCTGAGTCCCTGAGGGTTGAACCCCTGCCTCCACACAGCTGTGGGGTGGGTCAAGAAAGATTGTTAGGGAGGTGACTGAAGGAGGGCAGCAGATCAGTTAGTGAAGTCGGAGCGTAGAGAGGGCATTTAAGGAATGCACAACCTGATTTTCCTGGGTGTGTAAATGTATGTGCTTTCATGCACCACATATCCCTGGCCCTCCATGAATGTGGCTTCAGTGGTTCAGAAAGCCCAGCTGTGCACTATTGATGATAACATTAACAACAGCAGCAAAGTTTATTCTTTAGCATGTGTCAAACTTTGCTTCTTTAAATGCATTCATTTTCACTAATAGTTATCATCATTTCCCCCATTTTTCTGACAAACCAAGTGAGGCTTGATTTTTAACTTACCCATGGCCAGAGAAAAACTCGTAGAACTGGAGCTTGAGTCCAGGCCCAGCTGACTATAAAACACCCACATTCTTCATCATTACAATGTGCAAACTTTATTTGAGGTATAGCCCTCTGATCCAGCTTTATCACCTTGAGACTCAGGTGTATGTATATAAGACCTAGTTGTATGCGCAGGTATATGTGGATGCGTATCTCAGCCCTGTTGTGCAATGAAGGTAAGAAAGGTTTGTAAGAGAAGCAGAGAGTATGGATTAAAGTTCCAGGGAGCAGGCAAGGACACAGGTGAAATTCAGAGTAAAGGAAGAAGAGCTGAGCTCCTGAGGGATCTTCTCCACCCAAGCCCCTCCTTTCAACTAGAAGTGTGGAAGAGGATGGAGGAGAGGAGTTACCTCTCCCATGAGCCCTCAGAGGGGTATGAGAGCCAGAGAGGATAGCCATTAGCCAAAGGTAGGGAAGGGAGAAGAGAAATTCTAAGGGAGGATGGAGGAAAGGACTCCTGTTGCAGGCTCCTGAGTGGAGGAGGGATGAGTTGGGCTAGAGGAGGAGAGGGAACAAGAACTGTGAGGGGAAGAGAAGAGACAGCTGGGGAGGGGGTGGATAGAGGGGGCAGAAAGGAAGAGAGACATATGGGAGCCACTTCCCCCATACCCAACCGCTTCTCCCATTTATTATGTCCCTTAGAGGACAGACAACTGTGGCTGATGAGGTGGCTGCTCCCAGCTCAATGCCTCTGCTCTGCCCAGAGGCCCCACTGGCCCTCCCCATATGCTGCGGAACTGGAGGGGTTACCATGGCAACTGTGAGACCTTGAGGATAACCACAGGCAAGCCTAGCTAGACCACTGCTGCTCCTGGGCTTTTGTGGTGGAGGTGGTGGAAGGTAGAGGCTCCATCTGGACCAATTCCCGCCCCTCTACCCCATTTTCATTAGCCCTTCAATACTGAGATGTGCCACTCAGTTCCAGGTGGTTTCTCCCACCCTCTTTCTGATATACACACAGATGCACAAAATAGTAACATGAAACAGGGATAGAGAACGAACATTTCTTAAATTGCAAGAACATTTAGCCAGTAACATTAGAATTCCACCTGGGCTTCAAGTTTAATTCATAAAAGCTGCACTCAGCTCCCCGTCATCCTGGGAAGTCTCACCTCAGCCCTCAGAGGCAGGAAGTAGCAGGGACACCCTAGGTAGGTCTGGAGACTGAGGCAGCTTGGAGGAAGTAGCAGAGGCCCAGTGCCTGTTTCCCAGTGCATGCTTCCTCTCCTGGGTTGCTCTCCCACAGCTTAGGCTGCAGCCAGGAAGCTGAAGCAGGACAGGAGGGCTTTCTGTAAGCTTGTCTTAGGGACCTCTTGGGGACACCATTGGGAGTCCCTCATGGATGAGGTGCCAAAACTGAAAAAGTGCCAGAAGTCATCCAATCTAAGTGAAAATTAGATGAAGTGTCTAAGTCCCAGGGAACAATTGATTAGCTCAAGGTGACAGAGGGCTCCTATGGCAGAGCAGTGATTAGCACCAAGGGCTCTTTCCCAGCTGACACCAAACCACTCCCAGGGTTTACTTCTCAGACCTGTACTGCTCTGGACCCTGCAGGCCACTGGGTTGGGCAAGGAAAAACATATTGGGTAGAGTTCCTAGTCTTGCTGTTGAGAATTATTAAATCTTGAAACTGCAGTAGGCCTAAAATGGGGAGGTTACAGTCCTTCAAGTGAAAAAAAAACAGCCTCATTGCTAATTGTAGTCTTAATGCACTACAAGTTGAAAACCTTGAATTAAGAACTGAGGGGGGAAATGTACCACTCCCTCTCCTTCCATTCACTGTGCCACCCAGCCATCCTCCACACCTGCACCTTCAGTGCCTGTCATTGGCCCCTGCAGAGCTCAGTATGCTTGCTACTCATGAAGGCTAAGGTTTATGACCTGCGGAGGTGTATGAGTGGAGGAGTTACCTCTCCCAGAAAATGGCCAGACTAACTTCGGGCATCCCTTGAAGGTCCAGAATGTTTGGGGTTATTTGTGTGGTTATACGGGGAGTGGATGGGACCAGTGGACAGGGGTTGGCTGGCTGCTAATCTCCAACTCAGCCACCTCCACGGTCCACGCCCTGCCCCAGCTGCTCAGAGGAGGAGGTGGGTGTGGTCCCCGGGCCCGGGGCCACTAGATGTCAACCGGTCACAGCGAGCCTTGTAGAGGTCGCGCTCCCGAGACAGGCGAGCTACCTCCGCCCGCAGCGCGTCTAACTGAGCAGCCAGGCGGGCGCGCTCCGCCTCCAGCCCGCGCCGCTGCTGCAGCCGCTTGGAGCGACAGGTTTGCGCGTAACCGCGGTTCTTCAGCGTGCGGCGCCTCTGCTTCAGCCGAAGCGCCTCGTCGCGCCCGCAGCCGCGCAGCTGCCGGTTTAGCTCCCGCACAGACATGGATACCAGTGCTGCGTCCGAAAACCGCTCGGCCAGCTGAGGAGGAACAATGCAGGGACCTGTTCGGCTGTGGGTCCCACCCTGCTCCATCCACAGGTTGGAACGCTGGGTTAGCCCCACTGTCGAGAAGGCTTCGACCCCCCGGTTCCCACTTTTACCTGAATGCCCCCTTTTCTAACAGAATCTATCTCAGTCCAGACCCACAGGTCCTAGACACCCGACTCGCACCCCTCGGCACACCCTGCAGAGCAGGCCCCGCCTCCCACTGTCAGGCAAGCTCAGCTACACTCGGTGCCCCTCGCAGCATCCCACTTCAGGTCCAGTTGTGTGCCAGGGACCCGTGCCCAGACAGTCCCCTCCCCTCCAACAAGCCACGTTTCCGTGTCCTGAAGACCGCAACCCGGTGACCCTCAAAAGATTTAGATTATGCCCTAATGCCCTCAATACCCCCATCTGTGTCTATAATTAATAGGATGAGTTCCAATCCTTCCTGAGAAGGTTGGGCATAGGGAAAGCACAAAGCCTTGGAAAGGCCAACCTCAACCACTGTCTTAACCCGGCTCCATTCCACATGGGGCATCTATTTACTCCCCTGTAATCCCTCTCTGGGGGCCTTTTCTAACTTATCCCTGTTCCTTCTGATTCAGTCTATTCGTTTCTCTTCCTTTTGAAAAAAACGTAGTTTTCTCTGATTTCTTTTAAGAGTCCTTCTTCCCTTTTCCTGCCCTCTTTCCCCAGTCCAAAACCCTCTCCAGGAACTCTCCCTCTCTTGGACCGCCTCCTTCAGCCTGCCTCCCCTCAGACCAGCCTACTAGTCACTCACCTGGGCATGCTGGGCTCCTGTTTCCTCTAGGTTCTCTGGGTAGTAGCCATGGGGCCCCTCAACAGGGACTGGGCCCTGACCCTGCAGCAACTCCACAGCCTCATCAGGACTCAGCCCCAGCGCTTCCCCAGAATCCAGCTGCTGCTGCAGGGTGGCCAGCCAGTACAGCTCCTCCAGGCCTGCCCGGGGGCCCTCAGTGGCCCCCACCACGCCTGACTCACTGAAGGTTGGTGAAGGAGGCACTGAGCTGTAAGGTGTGGAGCCCAGTGAGGCTGTTGAGGCCACTGATCGTCCCTCCGGGGGCTCCCGCTTTACCTCAAACTTCATCAAGTCAAAGTCATTGACATATTCCATGGCCAGGGGGCTGGGGGACAGTGCCATTCTGTGTCTGGGCTAGGAGATGTGCACCTGCAAGAAAGAGAGGTCTGGAGTACATGGAGGCTGCCTGTCATCCTCTTTTACCAAACCCTCTTCCTCCAAAGTTCAAATGTGCTGGAGCCAGAGTTCTGAAAAACCAAATTAATGGTGCAGTCCTGTTCCTCCAGACCCAGAGGCAACCTTTCAGTTAGCATGGGTTCCTGACAGGGGCAAGCAATTGAAGACCTGATGGAAGAAGAGGACTCTCACCCCACAGGAGACTCTGGAATTAATGAAAAACAAGAGTAATATGCAGTTTTCCCAACCCTAGTGCAGAGACATACTGAGAGGCCCTGTCATCTCAAGAGACAGCATTCCATTTCCAAGCAATTAAAAAATTGTGCTTAATTAACTGTGACTGAATGTGTGTGTGTGTTTTAGGACAGTGGGAAGGCATGTGTGCTGTGAATCTTAAGATATAAGGATACCGTGCTGTTACATCTCTATCTTATCTGTCTTTCAAGGCACTCAGAACAGTGTCTCAGGAAGACTCTTGGTGCTCATTTGTTCTATGGATTAGTCATTGATTCCCTGTTATAGAAAAAAAAGAGACTTTCTGAGAGAAAAATAAAAGTCCTAGAACTAGTTCTAGAAAGATCTGAACTGAGTGGCCACCATCTTTCCTCAAAACCAATCTCTCCAAGGGAGAACCCACCAACTCTGAATTTCACCCCTTTGATTCAAATCTGCTATATTGAGCAGATTGCCTGTGCTTTTCTGACCCACTCTCCTTTTTTTTTTTTTTCCAATGAGGGCAGTTAGACTTTATAACATCTCCCAAAGAGTGTTCTGTTAAACACAAACTCTAAGAAGTACCCAAGAAGAGGTCTATGCTCAAATAATTTTAGAAAGGCTGCCTCCTATCCCTACCTCTTGCAGAAGAGCAATTAATCTGAGAAGTCCTTTAGCAAACCATCTGTTCAACTTCAACACAGAGTGTCCCAAACTTATGACACCAAATAACTCTCTCTTGTCTGTTACCAACCACAGAGCACGTGTGCACTTGGGGAACCTCTGCCTTTCAGAGATCCTTCCCAGCCTGAAAGTCCCAGCTTTTGCCCAGCTCCCAATTCCAACAGCTCCACTCCCACCCTCAGAATGAGCAGAGCAAGGAGTGTTCATCCCCTTAGATTTTGGCTCCCTCTTGATGCCCCAAGCCTAGATAATTCTCTTCTTGGTCACATCTCAGATCCCCAGACCATACCTACAGAGGTGAAAGGAAGGACAAGACCTCTTTTTTTATCTCAGAAAAAGGTTCTGTATTCTCTATGGAGCTCTTTGCCCTGAGTGCACAGAGGAGTTGAAAACAAAGACACAATTGAAGGAACTGGTCTTTGACCGGAAGGAGATGGTGAGACCTGAATCAGTGTCCAGAGAGAACAGGATGTGCAGAGAAGAGGTAAGTGGGGAAGAATATCTCTCTGATATGATGGTAGCCAGTACAGGGGTGGGGTAGGGTGAAGAAATTTGAGGATTCTAGAAAACTGACAACAGGAATAGCAGGTGTCTGAGGAAGGAACTACAGGTGAGAAGTCTGACACCCAAGTACCCAGACATACTTACTTTAGGGATGGCAAGAGATGATATGGTCAGTGTCAGAGCCAGACAGGCACAGCTTCCCCAGAGATTGGAGGACCCATGGAGCAGGGCCTGGTGCCTCTGTGTTCAGAACTATGGGGCTATAGGCACAGAGCCCAAAGGGCACTCTTAAAAGGCCAGCTCTCTGAGCTCATCTTTGGTCCTTAGGCCTCAGCCAATAAGATAAGGGAATAATTTGCATATCTCATTGGCATGGGGTGGGGGATTGGAGTGGAGAGAGACAGAGGAGAGGGCAGGCATGCCTATTCTCAAAGGAGAGGGACCATCTACCCCTACAAAGCTGATCACTGATGGTCCGACTCATGTATGCTTCATTCCCACAATGGCCTCAACCACTACCCCTCTATGTGAATACAACTCTCAGCCCTCTACCCTCAAAGCCTGGGCCTGGGAAGGAGGGCCAGACAAGCTCCCAGCAGCCCAACTTCTAAGGCTCTGAGCCCCGCATCCATGTCTGTGGGAAGTACAGATTCTCCCAAGCCCATTTTCACCTGTTGGGTCTGCTTCCCTTTTTCAAGTATACTCATATTTCTGTTCCTTGTCCACCTTAACCCTAAATGGCCTTATGCCCCTCACAAAAATTGCAGCTTTCCCCATGAGGAATCTCCAGGACTTGGCCATCCGATTCTCAGTCTCTCCCATTCTTAATAACCCAGCCCCAGACAGGTAGCCCAGCTTGGAAGAAGATGCAGAAGAAGAGAGAACAGGAAACTGTGCTCCTCCTTCCAGGCCACCAAAGGACACTGAAATCTAATCACCAGTCTATCCGATACACTTTTGTAACTGCCCTCACAAGCCCTCTGCTTCTTCTCACCTTTTTCCTGTGTCTCTGCCCCTCTTCCTCTCTCCCACTCATCATGGTTCCCAGATGGCTAGTGAATGACCTATATTTTCAGCCTAATCCCCTAACACCTCTTAGAGCTATCATCCCCCAGTAGGAGTTGGAATAGAGATACTAGGAATTAGCCAAGGAGATGTTTAAACCTGTCCAAAGCTGTTTAAATGGGGTCTCTACTAGAATAGAACTCCAAGAGTTTAAAAGCTATTCCATGCCTTCTGAGGACACTAGGTTTCTCTTAGCCCCAAAGGTCCTCAATTTTTTTTTTATATTTTAATTAGGTATCTATGCAGCAAAATGCATTTCGATTCATTGTACACAATTGAAGCACAACTTTTCATTTCTCTGGTTGCATACAATGTAACATCACACCAAATGTGCAGTCATACATGTACCTAGTTTAATGATGTCCATCTCATTCCACCATCTTTCCTGCCCCCATACCCCCACCCCTTCCCTCCCTCCCCTTTGCCCAAAGTTCCTCCATTTTTCCCATGCCCTGCCCCCATATGGATCAGCATCCACTTATCAGAGAGAACATGTGGCCTTTGGTTTTTTGGGATTGGCTTACTTTCCTTAGCATGATATTCTCCAACTCCATCCATTTACCTGCAAATGCCATAATTTTATTCTCTCAATGCTGAGTAATATTCAATTGTGAATACATACAACAGTTTCTTTTTTAATATATATTTTTAGTTGTAGTTGGACACAATATCTCCATTTTATTTTTATGTGGTGTTGAGGATAAAACCCAGGACCTTGCATATGCTAGGAAAGTGCTCTACCTCTGAGCCACAACCCAGCCCCACAACAGTTTCTTTATCCATTCATCTATTGAAGGGCATCTAGGTTGGTTCCACAGTTTAGCTATTGTGAATTGAGCTGCTATAAACATTGATGTGGTTGTGTCCTTGTAGTATGTTGATTTTAAGTCCTTTGGGTATATACCAAGGAGTAGAATAGCTGGGTCAAATGGTGGTTCCATTCCAAGTTTTCTAAGGAATCTCCATATTGCTTTCCAGATTGGTTGCATTAATTTGCGGTTCCTCCAGCAATGTATGAGTATGCCTTTTCCCCCACATCCTCGCCAACACTTATTATTGTTTGTATTCTTGATAACTGCCATTCTGACAGGCATGATATGAAATCTTAGAGTAGTTTCGATTTGCATTTCTCTAATTACTAGAGTTGTTGAATATTTTTCCATATATTGTTGAGTGATTGCATATCTTTTTCTGAGAAGTGTCTGTTCAGCTCCTTAGCCCATTTATTGATTGGGTTGTTTGGGGTTTTTTGGTGTTAAATTTTTTGAGTTCTTTATATATCCTGGAGATTAGTGCTATATTTGACGTACATGTGGCAAAAATTTGCTCCCAAAATGTAGGTTCTCTCTTCACCTCATTGATTGGTCCTCAGTTTTGAAAATTAACTGGCCCCAGCCTTAGGTTTTAGGAAAGAGCTGGTAGATGAAGATTATTAAGACAATATTTCTCAAAGTATTGTCTCTAGGCCATCAGCACCAACATTTCCTGGGAATTTATTAGATATATAAATTCAAGTTCAGTGCAGTGGTACATGCCTGGAGTCCTAGCACTCAGAAGACTAAGATGGGAAGATCACTTAAGTCCAGGAGTTCAAAGCTAGGAAATGTAGGGAAATCCTTCTTAAATATCCCACTTCACCTACTAAATCAGAAACTCTGGAGGTGGAGCCCAGAAATCTGTTTTAACAGCTTCTTCTAGCAATTCTGACACACACTAAAGTTTGAGAACAACTGCTCTATAGTTTTCTGCATTCAACCCAGCTTTTCTTAGTGTATGCTTGCTTGTGAGCATGTGTGTGTGTGTGTGTGTAGTCTCTCCTACCATGCTGTGTTAATCAGCTTTTTGTTACTATACCAAATACCTGGGGTGATAAAAGTATAAGTAAAGAAGATTTATTTTGGCTCACAGTTTTGGAGGTTTCCATGATCAATTGGCCTTGTTGCTTTGGGTCTGTGGTGAGGTAGTTCATGGAAGGGAGAGCATGGTGAAATAAAGCTTCTCATCTCCTGAATGGGAAAAGAAAAAGAGAGGAAAGGAAAGAGCCTGAGTTCCAACCGCCTCCTTCAAGAGCACATCCCCAGTGATCAGAAGACCTCCTACTAGGCCCCACCTCTTAGTTTCCACCACTTCCGAAAAGCACCAAGCTAGGGACTAGGCCTTTAACACGTGGGCCTTTTGCAGACATTTAAGATCCACACTAGTCAGCATGGTGGCGCATGCCTGTAATCCCAGTGGCTCGGGAGGCTGAGACAGGAAGATCTCCAGTTCAAAATCAGCCTCAGTAAAAATCAGCTAAGCAACTCAGTGAGACCCTGTCTCTAAATAAAATACAAAATAGGATGTGGTTCAGCAATCGAATGCCCCTGAGTTCAATCCCCGGTACCCACCCCCAAAAAAGTAGATCCATAATATAGCATGTACTTTCACACATTTATTAGAAGACCTAGATCAGATTAGGGCCTCCATTTTATAGAGCAGAATCCATCATCATCATTCAAGTTTAAAGGCTTCTCTATGTGATTTCCTGCTTCTACAGCCATTTTCTCAGAAGAAGCAAAAAGCTCAAGGCCTAGAAACCAGCTGAAAAATAGGAATAGGGATCCTGGAGATAAGAGACTCCATACTCTAGGGTGGACAGCAAGAAAGAAGCTCTAGAATTTCCCTGAAGAAAGAAGGAATAGGAAGTGTTGAGTGCAGCCTCCTTTTCATGCCTGCTCTAGGCTGGCCAGACACTTGCCCCCACCTGACAGCTGTCAGGTCTTCCCTGATCCTCTTGTTTACTGGAGGGCTCACAGGAGAGGTGGGAGGGCTAAGCTGCTAAGGGGCTAAGGGAGTTAGACTAAACAAGCTCAGGCGAGTTGAGCTGCTCACAGCTCAGACCAGGCACCACAAACTAGGGAAAGGAGTTGGGGGAATGAGGGCTGGGCTCAGGCTGAGCCAAAGGAAGGGAACACGGGCACCAAGAAGAGAGGCCATGCCAGCCAATGGGAACCAAGGGGGCAGAGCCCATCCCAAGAGGGCACAGAGACATGGAGATTGGGAAATAGATACTGAGAATAAAGAGACATCTGGGGACAGGTAAATATGGGTGAAAAGGATGAAGCCAGGGTGAACACTAAGAATGACAGAACAGAATAAGTAAAGGAGACTAGCTAAAGAGGCAGTAGGGGTAATGCCGGGATAAGTCAGGGCTCCACAGGGGTTTACATTAAAGGAGACAGAAGGATACAGGCATATAGAAGAGATGAATAAGGAGCCATGGGGGAACTAAAAGATAAAAAGGGGGGACAGTTTCTGGGAGACAACTAGAAGACAGTAAGAGACAACAGGAGAGACAGACAGGAACAATGACCTAGAAGTGGTAGATAAAAAGGAAGGAGACAGATAGATTGTCATGCTGCAGAGGAAGAGTGGCAGCCATAAAAAGTAGAAAGATTATGGACAGAAGGATGCTGGACTGTGGGGTAAGAGGGCCAGACAGGCAAAGGAAGAGGAATGGGAATGGGATCCAGGATGCTGCCCCAACCTCATCTGTTCCGCACACCCATTTTGGAACCTAGAAGGCCAGTGTCACTCCTACTTCTGGCCCTTGCTTATCTATATCTTCAGTAATGGATCCAAATCCTCAAAGCTATTCCTGGTGTACCTCCCACATTTATTTGACAAATATTTATCAAACACCTATTCTGTACCAGGCACTGTGTTAGGCACAAGGGATACCTCAAGGACTTACACTGTCAGCTGGTCTACATGCAGCTGACATGGAGCATCAAATTACTGCCCTTAGATCCAGGCAAGAGCAGATCTACCCTGGCCCATGCTTTAGAAGGCTCCATGCTGGCAGTCTTCTGATAGAGCACTCCCATGTTGTGAGAAGTCCAATACTCTTTTGTCCATATTCCATCCTTTTTAGAACCATACTCCAGATATCTAGGAATTTCCTGCTCAAAGAGCCCAAGCTCACATCTAGGATGCACATAATTTCTTTCCTGGGTGTTCCTTCCCATAGCTAGACACTACTGGTACACACATCCCTAAGTCAGTCAAGGGGTGACTGCTTGCAGGAGAGTGTGGACAGAGCTGGGATGGAAAGGTAGCAGGCCCACATGTTTATAAACACAGCTGGGCACAGTCCACAGTGGTACCAGGGGCAGGTGGGAAGAGAAGTGGTTCCAGCTGAAGACCAGTGGCTGAAAG